TCTAAGGCGGGAAAATCATCGAATGTCTTCTCCCACCTGAGTGAGGCGGGAGGGAGTGTTAGACTCTTATTGACTAATAACCACCCCGTTCCTACTCATGCACTTCGTGCCGAAGCCGCCGGCAACACGTTAAGTCCTCCGCGGCTCCGTAACGGCATTAGCCCTATTGGGCCCCATCGAAATTTAGATCATAAATTGTTAATATATGAGACTTTAAATTGAGTTGACTATCTATTCTTGGAATCCAGAACATTGTTCTATGACAGAGCAACAGATAGGTTATATGTCAAAGTGTCTATCTACCTGTTTACGTAAAACTGAAGCACCTAGGTAGAAGGTAGGTACCTCGACTTTTTTTTAAACAACCCATTCATTCATTATTTAATTATGTTGCTGACTCTTCCATTTAGTGAATATTTAGTAGGTAACTAAGTACCTACGTTATTATTAGGTTTATTATTCGTTTGATTATTGGATCGTGTTCAATTAGGTAGGTACTTAGGTAGTTCAGTAACTACCTATCTAGGCAGCTAAATATTTTTTTTTTATAAAACTGAAGTTTGTTTGTTTGAACTCGGTAATCTCCAGAACGTATTGAATAACACAAAAATAATTATTCGTATTGAATAATTATTTTTGTGTTGGATTGTCCATTTATAGAGGAAGGCAATAGGCTATTAACTATCACACTGTGATTAATAGGAGCCGAGAAAAATGGGTGAAAATGCGCGGGAAGCTGATGTACTTAACGATAAAAGGTAGAATTTTAACCATAACTCAAAAACGACTCGACCTAATTAAACTGTCAAACACCAAGCGGTCACCGGTGACCGCAACCTATTGTTCTATAATTGTGTCTACAAAACCGGTACTCGACGAGTTAAGATTCTATTTTATTGACTTATTAACCGTTTCTATAAAAAAAAGCACGCGCGAAGCCTGGGCACATTATGGCAATCAAGTTTAGGTACTTTTATCAGTCCAAGATACACTATTCCTTTCTTCCTATCTCACCGCTATACCCGCAGGTACATGCATCACTTGCCCTGAATCTCACAACCTTGACACAGTTATTTCAAACATGAAACGATGGGAGCGTAGTACCCACTTACTTCGGTACTCTTCCCATAGCAGAATCCATACTCAATTTATACTGTGGTCATCTTTACTTAGGTACTTCTCTTTTTACTTATGGTAGATATATAAATACTTACCTAGGTATAAAATTAAGAACAGAGATAACTAAAAAGTACTTACACCTGAATATTGAAAGGCTAAGTATTCAATTTATGTTGTGCTTAAATATCGTCCCATCTCTATTCATTTTACACAGAATTTGTAGAGGCAGAACTATACTTAAGTAAGCGCCACTTAAAATTGAGTGACGTTTTAGTATTTCTACATTACCGACTCAAATGACTTGTACAAGACATATTCCTAGGTATCTGAAACGAGAAACTTATTGCACCAAAAGAGACACTTTCAATTTAAGGAACTAGGAACCTCAGAACGGGACGTGAAGCATCGTGTCGTGGTCCCGACTACTAAACCAACGAGCAAACAAAAAATATTTGTATAATTTTATTTTGTATTTAAATGAAACCTGCTTCTACTAAAGTTGGTACTAGGTAATAAAATAGTTGTTCTGAAAGGTCAATATCACATCACAACGTTATTTTTTACTAGGGTAAGACGTGCAGTATTATTTTTATTTCTTAAAATGCCAGATACATAAGATAAACAATAATAAAATTGTAATAGAATAGCGGAGTGAATAAAAATAAACTTTATTTCATTGGTAAACAAAGTTGATTTTCAAATAACTGGGTTGTTTACTGATCGTAGTGTTTATTATCACAGAAATACCTACTAATAAAATATTAAACATAGGCTCTCCGCTGAGCTTCAGAGTACCTACTAATAAAATATTACAATACCACTGAATTTTTACTACAGGAGCAAAGGAGCAAGCAACAAAACTAAATATTAATTAATTTAACAAGTTTATTGTAATAATACACTTATAAAATCCTAAGGCCAATTTTTCTGTCGCGGAGAACCTAACGGGTAACCGGCTCGACGTGCAGGAGAAGGAACGGGGTGGTTTTTAGTCAGTAAGAGTCTGACACTCCCTCCCGCCTCACCCAGGCGGGAGCAGTCATTCGATGAATTTCCCCCCTTAAAAAAAGGCCAATTTTTCTAACGCTAGATAAATTTTAACTAAGGAATAACTTTGAATACCTATTTGACAATTCTTCCATACTAAAAACTGTGAAAAATTAATTTTATTCTAGTCAAGAATTAAGTGATAATTGGGATGATGACAGGGTATGAAAATAAAAAATATAATTAGTCCGTAAGTTAGGTAATGAAAAAATAGTAGACACATTGTTGATAAAATTTATCTGGTTGTGAAAGAATCGGCGCTTAGATAGATTGTTGATCTGTTGATCACCATTACTTGATGACAAAAATTTGGTATTTATATCAACTCATGTTCTAACTGATACATACAAAAATATCACATATCTACAAGTAAACAAAAAAGTCAAATCAATTAAAAAACGACTGTACAATTAAAATTAACCCATGTACTTACAATATAGAAGTCGAATATTAAACTTGTATAAAAATAATGATGAAATTAAATAAATAAATTAGTTTAGTGACCAGTCACTATATTTAATACCATGTATGAAATGTCAAAAACCATTTTTAAGTCAATATCAAACATCTAAATTGAATTGCAATTACTGTTTATACACAAAGTATTTTATACACTAAAATGTGTACAGGCATGGAACATATTCCACAGCAACACATAAGGTTACTGTTAGCCTAATCATGAAGAAAAAAAAACTGAATAAGTAATAATATTATTAAATTATTCATCAATCAATTATTAATAAAACAGAAACTCAAATCAGATACCTATTGTAAAACAAACCCTGATTTAATTTACCTAATTTCTAAACTAGATTGTAATTCTTAAATACTAGGTACTAATTACTACTATCTTGAGCCATTTCTTTTCGCAGCTCAGCCCAGGGATCTTGCAACATTGATGGATGTATGTAAGCTTGGACATTAAACCTTTCTTGATGCGGACTATGGTTGCCAGTACTGTAGCTTGTACTGGAGTTACTCTGAAATTAAAAAGCATAACTTAATTAAGTAAAGGATGTATGCTATGTACATACATAGGAAGATATTTTAAATAGTAAATGGAGCTTTCCAGTAGTTGTGGGCTTAACCCGTTGAAATCCATCCCCTAAATTTGGTCATACAAAAGTAGTCTCTAAACATTACAAATAAGGTCTATAATGTAATGTAATATTAGTGGAAAGCGGTCACCGGTGACCGCTTGGTGATTTATGGGTTAATATAACTAGCTACTTTCATGAAACCTCATGAAAGTAGCTAGTTATATTCATAGTGCGGGTGCAACCTCACCCGCACTCTGCTCAGCTCCTATTGATCTTAGCGTGATGTTTTGTAGCTTATAACCTTCCTCGATAAATGGACTTTCCAACACAAAAAGAATTATTGAAATCAAACTGGTAGTTTCGGAGATTAGCGTGTTTAAACAAACAAACAACGATCAGCTTTATATGTAGGTATAGTATAAGATAAAAGTTAAGTTTATATAGTTATTTATTGAATTTTCAGTTTTTTAGGCCACTACAAACAGATGGACAAAAACATTGTGTAAATTTCACATCCAATTTTTTACATATTGTCATTAAACTGTCAAACACCAAGCGGTCACCGGTGACCTCAACCTATTGTTCTATAATTGTGTCTATAATGACGGTACTTGACGAGTTAAATTTGAGTTTATTATATGATATGGTATTTTGTTGTGTGATCTGAGAATCTAATTTATCAAGGTTAATATTACTTATACGTTAATATTAGTATAGTCCGTTGATCACATTCCAGCTTCTGAATGTGCTATTAAACCCAATGTTATGCTGAGACATTTGACTCCAAATGGTGACACACATTTTTGTTTTATCCGGTGCTAATAGTGACAAATACACTATCAATATGTTTTTAAATTAAATTAAAAATATTTTCAGTGATAATACTCACTCCAAAACTAGACCGCGAGTTGTTCCAGCTATTATTGCGACCACCACGATTTCCACCGCCACGACCCTTATATCGTGAGTTTTGACTATTGTTCTGTTGCCATCTGTTCTGCACTGGCGTGCTTTGGTTCAAAGGTATAAAATTATCTGACATTTTAATGGTTTCAGACTTCTTTTAACTTCTCTAATTGTTAGTACATAATTATAATAATATACAAACAAACAAAACAACGTTCGAATGTTTATGAATGAATCACAAGATGATCACAAGCGTGTGTGTGACCAGTTGACATTGACTAAAAGAAAGTCAACGTCAAAAATTGACATCAATAGTGTTGACCTAAATGACAAATTGCATCTACACACAAATTAATCGACTATTTCGGTATACTAATAAACAATTTGTTTTTTATAATTTAATGAAAACATAAAGTTTGTAGTAATACGTTTTTTATACTACACAAATGAATGTATTATTTATTTATTTCAATTAAATAGTATAACATTAAAGTCATAAAACCCTTGGTTTATACATTTCAAATAAATAATTATGCGTTTGACAAAGATAATGACTTCTAATATGTATAAAATGTGAAGTATTTGGGATATTTCACTGATCTTGACACACTGTTATATATTTAAAGTAGTACATTATATTAGTTCAATATTTACTGTCATTAGTTTATTTAATTATAATTTCATTTGTGTCATACATTCGAAGTATTTAGCAACATATTATTTTCAAACCTGAAACATCTACAAAACTTTAAAAATAATGAGAGTTACGTTTGATAATATTATTATTCAATAAATAACATTATTAGTTTACTATTTTGTTCTTATTAAATGACATCTGTTACTAATACTAAATAACAAATTCACATCACTTCGACTCATCTGTCAAAAATTTGATCGAACACAGGTTTTTGTTCGGAATTGATTAAATCTATTTTCGGAAGAAAATAACAATTCCTCTAATATGATTCAGTGAATGTTGTGTATAAAACGTATTGAAGCTGGCGGCGTTTGGTGTAAAAATGTGGATTCCTACGAAATCACCAAAGCTAGGCGTCGGTAAGTTGTATTTTTTTTAATCAATCAGCATTACGCGGTCCGGATACATCCTGCCAATTACAGCGGAAACGAAATAACATGTTATGAATTTTAACTATTAAAGACAAAAGCTATGAGAGACTAGCTATGATATTTTGATAACATCTTAAAGAACTATGTTCATGATTGGTCATTCAATCAGTGATAGAATGCATTGTTTGTCAACCAAGTCTGTTTTCCTCACTTTTTGGCCTTGTTTTTCAGACCAAAAAGTTGGTTTTTGTAATGCCTATTTATAGAATAACTTGTACTTAGTGTCCAAGAAACATGCATTAAAAATTATTCTTTTTACATGGTATAACTTAAAGTTAATTGTATATTTTTGGAAGATTTGTTTTTTTTAATGTTATAATATATTTACTGTGCTACCATTTCTCTGTAAGGTAAATTCGATTTGACTTCACAGTTTCATTCATACAAACAATATGAAACCCTAAATTCAATATTTATTTCATTATTGTGTTATTATAGTTACATACTAAAATTATTCAAGAAATTCAAAAGCAAACTCTGGTATAAATATACTCAAAACAAATATAAATTTGTATGAGTAGTTAATCTACAAAATATAAATATTAAAATTCCATTCTTTCTCATATAGTATTGCAACAATACTGATTTTATTATTAAAGCATCCTATCTTATCTGCCACTCTCAATGGTTCATTTACTACTCAGTGTAAAGTTACATAATTTACCAAGAATATTGCATTCACATAAAACACATAACATCACACCTTTTATCCCCGAAGGGGTAGGCAGAGGTACACACAGAAGTAACACCCACTTTTCACCATTTATGTTATGAGTCCCATGTAATAGGGGGTGAGCCTATTGCTATATATATACCGGGCACAATTCCAGACAAGGGGTATTTTTTTTAAATCTCATTTAAAAAAAAGCTCAGTATTACTTTGTACCACCTGGGAATCGAAACCGAGACCCCTTGCCAGGCAGTCTGACTTGCAGCCAATCAGCCAGCGAGGCAATCAGTATTGCATTCACTCATAGTAAAATTTTTAATGAAAAGCAAAATGTTTCCCTGCCTATGATTTAAACTAAATACTAAGAAAATGTTTTGATATTAACTGTGATCAATAAATAAAAGTTGATTACTATGTATGTAGGTACCAAGGTAATTGTTTATTATTACTTAGTTTGTCTATAAGGAATAATAAACTTTATGGTATTCCTTGCTCCATACCTTTATTTATTCATTATTGCTTGAACATGATGAACATTACCAGATTTGTGAAATAAAATAAAACATGGGTTTTAGTAGTTTACACCAACATTATATTTTCAATTGTGTCTCATAATAAAGTTGCACTTGAGATATTAATATTTAAACTTTCAATCCTTCCACTGTATAATCACCTTAATATTCTGTTAGTGGAGAGTTTTCTTTTATAACTAAAATAAATGAATAAATACAGTTTTAATAAACATTTAATTTATAAATATATTTGTCTTAGGTCTTAAGTTATCTGCGCTAATATCGATTTTCAATAAAATTAGTTTTATTTTATAAATATTTACATTTCAGCTGTTTATAACTGGAAAGGAGATGTCAGATCGGGATTGCCATTGGAAATTGGGGAGACTGTCCAAATATTAGAAGAGAATGGAGGTAAATCATGTATAATATTTTTACATCATTTTATTAACACTATAATAATGTGAGAAACCAACAAAAATGGAAGTGTTTTATGTTTGTGTGATCAAACAACCAAGTGGTGTAATTAACAATTTATAACTGAACAATGGCTAAACAAGTAGTAGTTATGTTATTATTTTCCCATACAGAAACAGAACTGGTAGTATTAAATTGTTTATAAGTTCGTACTACTTTGCACTCTAAATTGTTTACTTTTGTGTCAAATATTGTTTCTTAATAACTGAATGATGTATGTGATTCTTTATGAGAAATAAAGATATTCTAAACCTAAATACCTAAATGGTTAAAGAAAGTTCTCTAAGGAGCAACTGAATAACTAACTATAATAATTTTTATCAATAAAAATATTTGATTGCTGAACATAATAATGTTTTTAGTGTGATTTGAAGATGTCTGCATTCATTTTGTGATTTAATTGTTTTATCAAATAATATCGGGCGAGTTAGGGAAACATTTTCTGGGCAAAGAACAGACCAGTGAATCGTTTCTAGTTTAAAGATTATAGACAAACATTCTAAAGAATATCAAAATCATAAATATTATTAGTTGTTGTCTTACATTACATCATTGCAACAAGTTTATATTCATTTACATGCAAAAAGACATTGACACAAAAACATAACATGAAATGTTAATTAGATACAAATTCTAGTTCTCAGTTGCTTATCTATGAAACAGACACATACTAAATGTACCTAATTATTATCATCCCACGGACTAGGTACTTGGCTTGGCTGACCTACAGGAAGAGACCTAGCTATATTCATTAATTTAGAGCATCGAGTATTAAATACACAATTAGGAGTTGATAGTTATCTGACTAGATAATTATGTTTGTGAACAAGTTAATCCTTGTATCAATTCTTTTTTTATGGAATAAGCCGGTAAACGATCTGACGGATCACCTGATGCTAACAATCGGCGTCGCCCATGGAAAGAGATTTTTGAGATTCAGGGATTGGGGCGATTGGGGAAGGGGGGGGGGGGATTAGACCTCCGGTAAAGTTACTCACACGACGAAACACAACAACACAACGCCAGCATTGTGTCAACCTTATAAATTCATGCTTTTAGAATGTCTATCTTAATTAATGCGTCTCCATTTGAGAGACTGAAATTGTTAAGCTTTGAGAATACACTACAAAACCTGTTGAAGGGATAAGACATCCCTAAGAATTAACCGTAAACAAGTAAAAACACTCATTTTTAAATGGATATGGTAAAAAAAATACATTTGGCCTTTAAATAATAAATTGAACCCATACAGAAATAACAGAATACCTAGAGACAACAAACTGTTCTTTGTTTCTGCATACTTTCTACTTATTCAGACTTAGAGGAATGTTCATAATAATAATACTTTACTAAGCTAAATTTTTAGACAAATACTTTGTAACACTTATATTCTACTCTGTCACTTCGTAAATTCAGATGCAGTTAATTGTTTCCGTCACACAACTCTTTTCATTATTTCCAGTCTGGTACAGAGGCTTCAGCTCCAAGAACAGGTCCTCCTGGGGCATATTTCCATCATGTGTGGTGTCCATAAGACCATGCATTGTGAAGGGGTCAGGTGCCACAGCCATAGCCGAGCTGAAGGATGATCCACTGGTCCGAGAGATTGCATGCGTCTTGAGAGAATGGGCTCGGTTATGGAAAAAACTGTATGTGGTAAGTGAGATCTAATTTATTGAGCTTATGTAATTGAATTTGGACTTTAATCACTCTTTAGGTAAGATCTGTTCAGCTTGTAAGATGTGATTTGATTAACGAACATCAATTTAAAGCCAAGATTCTTCATAAGAACCTATGCTTTGAAATTCAGTAAAATACCTACTATTTTATTGTTTGTCGTTAACAAGTGACTTATTTCGTTTAATTAAATTGAGTTATAAGAATCATTTTTTTTAATTCTCTTTAGAAATTAGTAAATGTATAATTATCGCGCTCATAACAATGGAGAATAAATATATACATCTTAAAATTTACTTGAACTGATAATAATAATATACATACAAAAAACTAAAATATTTACACCTTAACTCGTCGAGTACCGGTTTTGTAGACACAATTATAGAACAATAGGTTGCGGTCACCGGTGACCGCTTGGTGTTTGACAGTTTAAAAAATAATAGAAGACATAAATTAAGACATCAAAAAAAAAATCCTCATCGCTATTTTGAGTCTCTAATAGACTTTGTTATGGTTTTTAATATATAAGTAATAAATAGTGATGTCTTAGCAACATAGCTTTATAGACCACAAGTATCACTAATGTAGATCACTGTTTGAGTTTAATCTACAAGTACTCGTTTAGCAATGAGCTAATGATTCATACTGTAATGACTGTAGACCACTTTGTCTTTGTCTCGTCACAACTGCTGTATATTTGTGAAACTTCAACATGTTTTATTGTTTTATAATTACACGACAATTAATTTACAATGTGGCTTTCAATAATATTTACAACACATTTTACTTATATTATAGGATGTTATATTGAATTTTTTAACTCGAGAACTGCTGAACTACTTTTAATGGATTTTTACCGACTTCATTCAGGCAGATTTTAACTTACAGACTGTGTAAGACTTAAACTTTATTTTACAGACTGTAACTGACAAACTTTAACTTTTTTGCCGGAATTTTAACTTTATACCGGTTCTTAAATAAAAACCTATACAGATACACGATATTTAGTGTTGCGTTGTTCATTACCTTGTTAATATATAGCATATTTAATGCTTATTTTAGAAAATTACATTCAATAGGTAGGCAGTAGCAGCCACTACAATGAATCAAAACTTACAAAATTCCGTCTATAACAATAGTCTATTAGACGTTTAATATTTAAACAATAAATCATACGATTTATACGTTGCGAACAAAGTTAATTGCAAACTTATTTAGCCATGGCATTACCCGACGCAGGAAACTCGTCACGCGCTTAGAATTTCTAGTGAGCCACGAGCCACGAGCCGCGATTGAAAGTTAACGAGCAATAAATAAGTATTTATTTAAGTTTATGTAGAACGCATATTCGCACATTATAATGATGTGTTATGAAGAAAAATTCCGTTTTCCGGTACCGATAAACAGAAATTGTTTATGTAGACTGTTTTTATTGAATACTAATTGTTTTATATCACAATGTGTTATTGAGTAACGTTCTCTTAGTTTCGGCTGTTGCCGGTCATGGTAGAGTATATAGAATTAGTTACCAATCATACTCTTTCCATAGGTGTCGTTAGTCGTCTCTTAGCGGGCGTCCCCATCTGGCGAATGCAATGGTTTGACGCGCCTCCTTAGTGCAACTCATGCAAGGCTCAACAACATCATTATCATCAACGGCCAATAAGTGTCCATTGCTGACCAAAGGTCTCTTGTCACACGGAGAAGGTTTTAGCATTAATCGCCACCCTTTCTCGATGTGGGTTGTCAATTTCAAACTTATTATTAGAAATTATAAGCTTAGGTTTCCGCACGATGTTTTCTTTCACCGTTTGTCAGTGGTGTCTAAATAATCGTAGAAAGTACTTACATATAATTCAGAAAAAGTTACATTGATACTTGCTGTCATTCAATTGTAATAGGGTACGAGTGGACGACAGGGTTTCGATGACGGAAATCGCATATTTATCTCAATTACACCAAGAAATAAAGTCGCGTTGCGATATAGGGTTCACTGTATGGCTTATGGTTTTCCCAGCAATTAAACACGTTTTGCTATCCGAAGTAATGAACAGAAGTACACGGGTATGATTTATTTACACCCAGTTTTCACTTCTTGCTCCATAATAGATAGTGCGACTGTTGCGGTGTACCGGCAATAACTAATTACAAATTAGAGACCCACCAGCTATATCCGATCAAGGAAACAATCCTGAGACACTCAATCAACAAAGCAGTCAAAATACTAGGAAAATAATCTATTACTCAACGATTTGCATACCAACTTACAATTTAACATATTGTCGTATCGCCTTAAATACACTAAAATATAAGACAAGACAGCTATTCAACCCAAAAGTTATTTGCTTTAAAACATCCACAAGTATTAGGCATCTACTTTAAAATTCAAACACACACTATTCACAGATTTCTTTGTTATTTTCTTAGTTATTCATGAGTCATTGTTTGTCGTTACTCGTTTTCCGTGTGAACTACTTCTTTTCAATGCTTTTTAAGAATATTATGAATACTCGGAAGATTCGATGCCAACGTTTTCAGAATGATCCTCATATTTTATATGCGTGTCGCCTCCCTGATGCAGCGGGTGCGGGGCAGCGCCAACAGTCTTCTGATGACCGTGGCGGATAGGACTGATGGCCTTATGCTAAAACACTGGACGAAGACGCAAGTGTTGCCTACAAACCGTGCCCAGAAGTAGTGAAAGTCAGCAGTATTGTTACTATATTATCATTATATTACATATTATGACAAATTATTTTAATTTTATATAAAGAGGTGTGATGTACTAATACTAGTTTATAAGTTTGTAGATATCTTTACTAACCATATGGATTGTATTATCTGAATAAATAAATAAATTATTAATTATTATTATTTTGTTTCTGGAAATAATTTTGGTTGGTCACAAGAGCTTCTGCTTAGCAAGGGATTCGATTCTGGTATTCATTATGGAGTTCTTAGGCCTTAGTACGAGTTTGTTTTACATCACGATGCTCTGATTGGTCAGCTCCAATGAACCAACCAAACGGGGGGCTTACTATTGAATCCAATTCCGATCGATTGGTATTGTGAACTTTTGTACTCTTGAGTTGCAACACTAGCGCTCATTGCAACCGTATTGCGTGGATATTGAATCAACTAAATGGTATTGAGTTTGGCTTTATGTTCCATACTCTGAATGCTATTTTAACGGCTACGATAGGGGTTGTATAGTTTTGACATTTAATAATTATTGAGATTTTATTGGATTGAAAATTGCATTGACATTAATATTACCGAGAGCGCCAAACGCGGTCTCGTTTCGATTACTTTAACTCGTACATACATATCGTCCCCGTATGAGAAAGAAGAGAAGAGAAGAGGCCCTAGCCTCTTCTCATACGGGGACGATATGTATGAGCTAAGGCTCAGCAGTGGCCTTATCCTTTTGTGTGTCTAAAATGCGGATATTAACGCTTGGCACAATATATTATAATATTGATGCATTCAAGCGCTTATAGGTTAAACATGATTATGATGAATTGGTGTAATAATATACCTACAATCCTACACATTATTACACCACATTTTAGGACCAGCCTTTTTGGCGACGGCTCCAAAAACGGTGATGTAACGCTGGTGTAATGCTGGAGTTAGAACCTTAATAGGTTCCAAAGAATGTGGCACAACACAATCAATTGGCTTAAAGAACAAGAGCTCTGTATAATACATATTTATAACATCTCTAATAGACCGAGTAGGAGGTAGGTTTCGACTATTACGCAGTAGAAGTACATATACCTCTAATAAACAGCATATTATTAAACTGTTCAATGACGACATTGTTAACGTTCATAATGCGGGACCAATCAAAACTAATTACGTTCAGCTAAAAGGCAACTTGTCACTCACAATTATTTTGTCAGTCAGTTGATATGCTATTATTGTACGTGAAATGACCATAGAATCGAATATCGCTGATCACCAGAAAACAGTGTGATGAATGATGACGGTAATCAGTTTAGGTATTTCCTTGCTGCGTCCGACAGGGTCCATAATGATCTGTGTACCTACGTTACCATCTAAGTCGAACATTGTGGAATACAATAAAGGATTGAATATTTGAATTCAGAAACTGATGGTTTTATGACTAAATACTAATAAACTAATGAATCAGGTATTGTAGTACCAACCTACCCATTCGGCAATAAAAGGCGCTGGTGTACTTACATAAATATAATAGGTACCCTTTAATGAATACTTAGCTATTCTACAGATTTTCCCACAGGGCGCAGTTACAATAAGCTCTTGTCGCTTTGTATTTGAACATTATTATTACCAAATATTCTATAGAAATGCTCAATAGACCGCGATTTGAAAAAGATCCCTCTTTACCACAATTCAATGGAATGGTTTTTGTAAATTGATTCTTAGTTTGTGGAACTACGAAAGAAGCTGAAATACAAATACGATGAGACAGATGATGATTAAATTAAACAATACACATTTACTTCTTAAGGCATCATCAGTTAAATTACTTCATTGTTCAGTTTAGTCCCTCATGTCCCCTTACGTTGTGTCTGTTCTCAGACGAGATGCAGGTACTTCCCGCTTGTACAATCCCCACATCCTTACTTTCAATTACTGCACATACTCCACAAGTTAATAGCTTTCTTTCCAGACATCTGTGGTCTTGCAAAGATCGTAACACGATGATTTATTTTCTCTTTCTTTATAGAAATCGTGAGCAAATAAAATAATTGTTTTGTTCATTGACTTGCAGTTATTTTTAACAGGCGATTTTCTTAATTGAATTAGAAGCGTTTTTAACAAATCATTAATGAGATATTGCTTTATTATGGATGCTTTTATACCTCAAAGACCAAGGCTAGCCTTAGTAAAGATACACCGAACAGCTGATAAAACTCAAAGAGCCTAAAAATCCAAATATTAGTTAATTTTCTTTTCTTAATTTCTCCAGGAGCGGGAGACCTACAGGTTCAGTGCAGTGGCCAAGGTGATGCGAGAACTCCTAAGTGGAAGACGAGCACTTCTAGCCGGCACTCTCACACAGGACCAGACCCGGGCCCTAAGACTCAAGCTGGTCGCCAAACTCGACTGGGGTAACAGGTGAGTCATGACTGCATGTTACTTATAAAGGATTTTGAACTTATGTGTTTGCGAAGTAGGGACTTTAAAGTTGGATTTCGCTTGTTAGTATCAAATTGATTAGGTAGGTTTTTGTTTGTTAACAGTAAGGTTGCCATTGAGCTTCATTAGTGCTAGACACACAATTGTATCTCTCTAGTAAAATTTGAACTGAACTAGGTAAAATAGAAAAGCATGTCAAGTCAAAATAATTTATTTGAATTAGACAAGGTGGCGTATTATGACGCCTTAAAGCCCTGGCTTTAAGGCGTCATAAGGTTCCGTTGAGGGAACGAGATCTCGCTAGACGACTTGTATAGCTCTGTTTCTTTCCCTCAATGGAACCATTTTGACTTTAGGACGTCATAATAACCCCGCAAGAAGGCACTTTTGAACGTCAACAAAGAATTTAAAAGTGAAGCTAATTGCTCATGGCAAGTTGTAGATTTCTATAGAGAAGAACGAGCAAGAAACTTCATAGGTTACTCTTTTTCAATCAGATTCATAATACAATTCTTTAGTTTTGTTGGTTCAATCCTGTGAGAACAATGTTATGGACAGGATGGGTGGACATGCTACGGACGGTTAAAAAAAATTAAAATGATCTGTTCATTAAATATATATTAAGGGGCTGTAAAAATGTTATATGTAGTCATAATAATGGCATTAAAGCTACTATACTTATTACATCTGTTGTTATGATTGATTCATTGACATTAAATCATTTAAAAGTAAATCTTAAACATTATTTCCACCACGAAATCAAATAAATGATTCTCTGTTTGGAAAGCTATTGAGTAAAGGAATTTTCGCATCGAATAAAATGCAGTTTCACGTGTAATTAAACAGTGTGCTTGTGTTGTTTGATTTTCGTTCCTGTAATAAATTATGCTTTTTATTCCTTAGTATCTATTGACGTTTTATTTTTAAAAAGAAATTTTTATAGACGTTTTACAGCTTGAAGAATGTTGTGTGGTTGGCTTATTACTCTTCTACTCATTTGTCAATGTACTGATAATTTTAATCTTTTCTTTGTTGTCTAAGTAAATATTTTCTGAAATTTGTAATAAATTGTTCAAAACACCAAAGAAGATTCTAGGTATATGGTCTTATAGACCTTAGAATGAATAAGACAATTTGGATAAATACTTACTTTATTTTTTAAGGTAGGGAACAAAAATGAAACATAAATTAAAATATTTGAAGTCATTTATTACCGAATTATAATAATGTAGACAATGTAACACATTGAAATAATGATTGTTGCAGTCTCAGAGATATTACGTAGGATATGGGCAGCATCTTATATTTACTACAAAACATTTTATATAGGAATGGCAAAGTTTTATATTATAAACTAATCAATACATCGCAAACTGCCGTAGTCCAGTTCCATTGCAACAACAAAGGTGCATGGAAGACACATTTTCGAGATTCCAAGAGTCTAATTCATTTCAATCACACAGTCTATTAAAATAATGCATGACTCAAATTCTTATTCTACAATAATATTTGAGATACGTTGAGAATCGTGGCCTTTCCTCTGGACATCTTATTTAATGGCACATTTGGAACAATTTATGAGTATAATTATTCACTTGGAACTTATTGACACACGTACCTTGAATCCATTCACACGCCATACATTTATATAGTTATGATCGCTTGTCTTAGTACCAAATATACTTTTGATATCAATCACAAGATTGAAGTAACATTATATAAAATTTGACTATCAGCAGATACTCCCAGACCTAACTACACATAATATTAGTTACATTTATATCCTTACCATAATGCTTACTAAATCAATGGAACAAAAGAAAAGCACGTATAAAATACTCTAATTATATAATATCTATCTACTTAATTATAATCGAAAGACCTATTCAAGTCGATATGTTTATTCTGAAGCATTGTTATAGCTTTACATCTACTACAATTAACTCACTGAATATTTCATATCAATTAGATAAAATATAAGACCAGCTAGACAGCATGGAAATATAGATCACGTTTTATCATAATGCATGATGGCTATTGTCTTAACATTTTATCGAATTATCAATACATAAAAGAAGTTAAAATTAAACATGTCTTAAATATCTCACGTGTTAGGCTACTCACGAAAAGATGCGGGCAAGTCCATAATATATTTTATGAAAAATATAGTAATATAAATGTCTAGATATAACTTGCCCAGATCTCCCTTGCTGTTAACCTCTATTTTCATAGTAAACTAATACAAAAGATAGGCTATACTTATGATAGAAATGAATGTATGTATACTTCGTGTGTACTTTTAAATATCATTTGCATTTTATTTGCGAGTTGCATTGAACTTACAACACTAGATAAACACGAAACAAATAGTACTCAGTGAACAGTAAAATGTTGCTGATTCGCAAAATTAGTTAGTACCACAGCAAATTTCATATCAATATAACAAACAGTTCTTTGTATATCATACGAATGTTTCAACAAATTTTATACTAATTTAATCGTAGTTTTTCACTAAATTTAAAGCTCAAGGCAAAAAGGCAATTGTTGTCTTATTTTTAAAACAGGTAAAATAAGGAATGTCATGGTCATTCATGTCGTTGGAACTGAATTTTCTTACATTACTGCGAATGAGCGTTACAATTACTAAAAGAACAATACACTGCGTCCTGCACTTTTTATAAAGAAGCAGTCTTGGATACAAGAGCTGAGATCGCAATAAATGGATTGTATAGGAATCTCGTTTATATGATTCTCTCAGATATCGTATTCGAGACTAGACAGGACGATTTTGATAGTGTTGCGTGTATTCTTCCTCAGTCTCAAAACTTACGTCTCTGTTTCCTTGGCGTACTTGTCAATGTTCGGGTAGATGGGGGCCATCTCGAGGGTGGAGGGGGCCGATGGTGCGTTGGAGTTCATGTGCAGCCTTCGTGACAGTTCATCCAGTACTTCACCGAACACGCGCAGTGACATGTTTTGTCCTAGCAGATGCAGGAGTAGGAAGTCACCCACCTGAAAAGAAAATAACAATTAAAACATACATTCTAACATGCTGACGCCACAAATAATTTGATTTTGCGCATTTTTTGTTTATTTTAATGGGTCTATTACGCACCTGAGTTTTCCTAACAAGTGATTCGACTCCAGCTGGTGTACCGAAACGGAAACGTCTCTTTAGGATCGTCTCGCGAGTGCTTGGCAAAAGGATCACTGCTGCAGAGTACGCCAGGGCCAAACCGCTTACTACTGACAGGATGATGAACCTGAACAAGAAACACATAAATTAGCAAAAATTATAGTAAAATACAATTCATTAGAGTGTATTAATTTAAAGTAGGTACGTACAAAACTAAGGATAACATGATACTATAATTCCAAAGTAAAATAAACTGTAGGCAGTGTCGAATGTGCAATGTATGAAATCATGCATTTTAAGTAAATAGAGGTCAACTCACCAGAACCACAGGAAGATGAAAATCTTCTCATTGAGAATGTTCAAGGCCAATACGCAGAGAGCGTCGTGTTTCTGGATCGTTCCAGAAGCTCCGAATTTGTGGAATGTACACTTGGTCAGTCTTGGGAAGACTTCGATCTGGAAAGAGGAATTTTACATTAGATAATGGTAGCAGAAAGACAAATATGTTTAGTGAATGATAAACACACAGTTAAATGATCAATAGTTAAAGTCTAAATATGTGTTTAATATAGTAATAGACTTGTCTTTTAAAAGTTGTGAACTTACCATAGGATCAGTTCGTTGTTCCTGGTTCATGTTAGAGAACTTCACCACATCGGTACCGTATGTCAAGAAAGCACCTCCGAGGAAGGTATCCAAGAAGAAAATGTTTCCAACCTGAAATTATCAAAGTAGTATGTTAATGTATGTCTTTTAGGGTCATTTTCATTTAAAGAAGATTAACTATGACTTAGCCACGCCTCCCATTATATGGGGTTTAATCTTTTTAGGCTATCTAACAATGGTGCCTTGTATCTTCCAGTCGTGATTGTAATACATCTCCATGGTTTGTTTTTAAACTGCATATTTAATCCTTTTATATAAATTTTACATCTTGAAAATACAATATTAGAAGTGTACAAAATAGAATGCTATTATGTTGACCTCTAATTAGCAATGATAAGGGCACAAGGCTACTGATGATATGTCATTAGTATATTATCTTAAAGCGAGCATATTAATACTTTGTCATAGTGCGCTAGATTGTAGATGTACTTACCACGTTGATGAAGTTCAGAATCTCGCAGAAGAAATAACCGAAGGAATAAGTGTTGTGCATGTGTCTAGTATCCACCAAATACTGGACAAGCCGGTTCTGTAACATTCAAAACAGAATATTAGTCATGAACTACCACATAGGTCTCTCAACAGAACAGAATATTACATAATAAACGTTCCAGGCTCAGTTAATTTGTCTTATTAGGGACGTTCATCAAGTTTCATTAGTATCGGGACTTATCTCAATTGTGCCACTTTATTAAGAAACAAGATACCTATGTATATTGGCCTTATTAATGTGCTCACATTATCTGTTTACTATTCCACTGGGAATATTCTACAAGTATATCATAGTTGTGGAACTTACCAAACGGTTGTTCTTGTCGTCAGCAATGCTGGCAGCGGTTCCTCGCATACCATCGGAGATCATGCGGACTTTGCCCTCTTCCCAGTTCTTCCAAATCCAGTGAGGCACGTAGAAAAGCAGACCCTGGAAACAATTAGGTTAATTGTCAATTACATCCAATATAACATTATTTCAGCGTACACAAACGTCATGGAATTGAATAGAAAATTATGATCGCGCTTCAAACCTGTTTGTAGTAGCAAAAACTTAAGAGGTAGCAAGTCAGATTTACTCGCTCGAAGAAAAATTACATCATACATTGCGCAACGCAGTACAAAGACCTCTCGATCGATTACAAAGAATTCTGCAATTTTTAATAATTGGCATTTACTGATTGGTAAAAAAATCTTACTTGGAAGAACAGCATGAAAGGCACCCATTGGTAGTAGGCATGGATGCGTTTCTCTTCTTCGAAGTCATTTCCAAGGCCGGGATGTGCGATACCTCGGGCAGGTGAATTTGGTAGAGTGAACGTGTAGGTAATCCAGCAATAGGTGTTCAGGACGTGGCCAGGTACAGCTCCGTCGTTGATACATGAGATCGGTTCGCCTGGAAGGAAATAATTAAGATATATCATGCATTCTTAAGTATTTACAAACCCACGTTTCTTTGTGCGCAAAGAAAATATAGTCATGATGCAAATATTTATTCAACCTTCATATAAATACAATCATTTTTATGAATGTCACGTGAGGAAAGTAACAGGACCTCTGTATTTCTTGGTAATTAAAAAATGGTGAAGTAAGCTGAATTGCGAAAGTTTGTCCCCTAACCCGGCACGTAGGCAAATCGTGTTGTGGTTTTTTTACCTGACGTGGATTAAATGTAAATCGTGGTGCGTCACTGTCGATTTAGGGTACATTGTGGTTACATTTTCCTTATCAAAAGATTTATTATAATATTTGCTAGAGTTGTTGGACACCCTCTTCTGAGTCACATTATGACTACCTACGTAATAGTTTACAGTTATATTAAAGTCCACATTAACATAGTCGTTATGATTAAGGCCATTGGAACTTTTGCTTCGGGGCGGAATCACCTATATGAGGCAATATGCATTAAGATGACCTGTTATGCTTATTAAACCAATTGATATTCAAATTAAGGATGTAAAATTCTATAACAAATAGCTATACATGTGTTTACGGTGCTGCAAATCTATTTTTATACTCCCTCCCATATCCATGAGAAGTTATTGTCCAGCATTTAATAGTACCAGATATAATTATTTTATTAATATTAATGCCTATTCATAGCCCTGACATTGCAACAACAAGTTGCGGATGACGCTAATATCGTCAGTAATAGTGCATCTGCCCGTCCCGTCGTAATTGTCGACCGTGATTCAAATCACCTTGCTCGCAACGAGGGCTGAGTTCCGATGTTATATGTTCCTGTTATCAATTCATAAACGACCCAACTTATAACACAAAATTGTTTAATTTATCTCGAAAGAACGAGGCTTGTTTTGAAAACAAGGTTTTTATTCATAATTTTTTCACATACCACGTGAAAATTTCATATCTACATTGATATGAACAAACGAGAATTTAATTTGTCCTGTTTCGTCCAGTTATGTGATCTCATTTAATTTGAGTGGACGGTAACATTGGACCGCACAATGACATGTCAATACCGTACTGTGTTGGACCACAATGTTGGGAGCGACCAACTGGTTAGGTACCTACATGACGGATGCTGTGAACAAAATTCTGAGAACACTGCTTTCAACCAGGCAGTGCGCAGTGTATGATTTTACCGCCTGTTTTATCTGATTTACTTAGAGGAAAATATTGATAGATTATTCATTCATCGATACACTGCAAATGTAATTACAATTGAAACAAACTTCTTACAACTACATACGCTTATAGAAAAACTAAGTATTTTTGTTACAAGTCAAATAAGTATGTATGACCTAGATATGTTGCATAACAAAATAAAAATATTCAACATTTCCAAAAAGCATTAAATAATTCCCGCTTTCTTTCGATCTACGAATACTATTTGCATAGGTCACAATGCATTTCGAAATATTGTATCATATGAGTACCGTTAATTCTGACTCAACAGTCGAGGTGTCGAATTGACCGAAGTCACATGCTTGCTAATTGCCCCATAACGAGCACTTGCAATTGTTAGACCATTTATCGCCGTCTTGATAATCTCAAACGAACATACAAATAAGAAATAATGACTTAACAAGTAACGCGTTGACATCTTTATAGCTTGGTGCATGACAAAGAGTCCACAGTCTTAACTGAGAAAGCCAAGTTATATAAAAAGCAATCTAAAAAGTTCGCAATAAAGTAGAAATTATGAGTTTCATCGACCAATAAACGGTAGCAGTATTTATCTTCAAAAGTGCATTGACTTCATAAAGTCTTACAATCGAGGGAAATCGACGGCGACACATAACTGCAATATAATCACAACTCAGGCTTTTACCTACAATCAACATAACGAGCAAATTACCTTTCCAATGCTGTTAATGTTATCGCGAAGCTATTCAACTTATGCTAATTCTAAGTTACGTTGTGCATTGTAAAAGTACTCGATAAGGATTTAAAACTGTTCTATCAACAGTACCCTGAAATACTCGTTTTGCTGCGATTGCCTGGTTATTACTGGGTCATGGTGAGCTAGACTGCATAAACTTAATATTATTGTACCTACATCATAGTATACAAACATGGCATATGCTCATTTGGAACAAAAATATATCATAAATGTCGTGTGAAGAATTTAGGTCGTGACGTCAACTAGTGTCATAATAGTTGCACAGTGTGGTCGCTGGCAGTTTATGTCCGTCCAAAATTATTATGAATCTATTGTTTGTCACGTACTACAAGCTTTATCTCCCTACACATCCCTTTTTTACAATTTATGTACCGATAAAATGTTGCGTGTGACCTACGCAACTCATGCTGGTCCAATCATAAACTTTGGACCAAGGTTTTTCTAGTTTTGATCATTGTTCACTCGAATCAATAGTATACCTGTCAATTAAAAGAAAAAATCATGTACGATATTGTAAACAAAACCCGTTTCCAATTCAATCGTCTTTATATTTTTAAAACAATAATTAATCAATGCTCGTTAGTTCGCTCTCACGGCAAGACGCATAGTAACAGGCAATCTGTAGCAGCGTTATCGTTGCTAACTATGGTATTATGATTACTAACACCTGAAGCACAAATGTGATTGAGCAGGCTGCATGTAGGGCAAAATATCACTGACTACTACCGTTGCAATAAACTACATATGGATTGCTGACTAACTACCTATGAGACAATGTGCACTGAGTACGTGACCCAGCCTAAGGAGCCTGGACGCTTTAGTATGCAAGTTTATTTGATATTACTATTGTTGGATGGTATGTAGACTTGGAAAGTTACAGACAATGAGCCACGGCCTAATGACCCATTAAATGTCTTCAACTAGTGAAAATCACTAACACACTTGTACGTAATTGTTTATTTTAGAATTCAAACTGTTAGACTCCATTTCTGCATCTTGAGACACTAAACAGATTTGTTGAGAACAGGTTAGCTAATTTGTCTAATGCAATTTGTCTGTCACGACTTTAGAAACTGCAGTGAATAAGGAAAACTGTAACTAGGGAGATTAAACGACAGTTGAAGTATTTTTAACAATACGTTTATAAACAATAAATCCATTTAACATACAATTGGAATTAATGCAGACCTTGTGCGTTTCAAGTGTAAGTCACGAAGCACAATCTTATTGAATTTGAATACCGTATTTTAACTCAAAAGTTTCCTCACTAAGCAATATCGTCATGTGGTTAATAAGTATAAGTTACAAGTGGTCATTAAGGAGTAGTTTGTTTGTGTTTGTGCCTCATCAAATGGGGAGCACGCGATAACGTCGAACGTAAACATCGTTTGTTCCACACCGGTTCATTGGAGCACTTCCTAACATCACGTTCTTTATTATGTAAAGACGTAATAAACGGTAATCAGCTTGTTCACATGGCAAAGAACTAGTTCATAATTATCTGTTTCTGTACCAGAAACACTCCAATCCCCCAATATCGACAAATTAATGTCAGTTCTTTTCTATGAATCATAGAAGGAAAACTTGTTGAGTAAGATAAAGGCAAACCTTAATTTTTTGACGATAACGATCGTAAGGTAAGCAGCAGACGCGCAAACATATTGCATGTGTGTCATAAGCGCTTCATTAACGCGTAAATCATTAGGTAATTGGGGATAATGTATCTAATGGACGGACGAGTCATTTAACGACTGTTTATGGTCTTTATCGAGTTCATGATAACTGTTATAGTTCTAATAAGCTCGCGTCTTGATAGCATCCAGATGTGCGTTATGCAACAGACGCTCAGGCTCGTCAATGGGACATTATTTGGAAGTTAAGACTGATACGTCTTTAGGAAGTAATTATCGTTTTCCTTGAAACTCAATTAGTACTTTATTCAGTTTTCAAAATGGGTCATTAAAGACCTAACCTTCACGATTAAAATGTCAATTTATAAAGAAGTTAGTGGTTATTTATGAGTAACGCGGATAGATAGTATTTACTTAAAATAAATACAGAAATATAATCGTACAAGAAATAAGTATTACAATTTCATATTTATGACAAGAGTGATCGTGATCTGTGAAACAAGTCATAGAACAAATAGCAAAAGATAAATAAAAGAAAAGATTTCCACAGGATTTCACTAGTAACGTAATATAAACATCCGCAATATAAGCTATTTATAACTGTTAAGATGTAAACACTAACATTTAACGCGTTCTACATTGTATTTGACTTTGAACTGCTGTTACTGTTAAACTCCAGTCGACCGTAGAAAGATTACCATGACCTTTGCTTTCTATGCTTTGGTGATTAAATGACACAATTAAAAAAAACGTGCATTTTTTTAAATATTTTTTACAGTTCAGTTTTCTATTTCCAAGGATTTTGTTAGCAAGTTAGATGTGTGAAGTGAAATAAACATGGAACGAAAAGTTAGGAAGAAATAATGATGCAAGAGTGACTGAAAGTAGGACATTTCACATTTTAGATAAATGTCTTCCTACCAATATCTTATCTAAAAAGTAGGATGGGAAAGGCGAAATTGTAAAGTCAAAGAACAGTTGAGACGAACCATGCCCAAAGAAGGACAAGCAAGAGATGCTTTTGTTTTGACGGACCGGGAAGCATCGATAAATAGATGCAAACGCATTGTCTCACAACCCACGTAAATTACTATGCACAAACTTTCCACAATCGGTTCATTCGAGCACTTGTTGCCTAATACATAATCTCATATGCTTTGTAAGTTCACTGACCCGTTTCGCTCTACTGAATTGAATCTTATCACGTACGCTTACGAGTGTATGTTTGTACAATCAATTTGTCATGACGTCTCAATTTAGGTAACTGTTACACACGGTGTTCCTGTACTGAACAATGACCTGAAAATGATTCACACTTTTTCGGTATTTACAAGATTTGGCCAGACGGACTGTTATGTCTGTTTAGACTCTTTGTGTTATACGGTCTTAGGTTACTGTCTAGGTCAAGATTTGCATCTTTAAAAACATTAACGTTTGTAATTAGGCATACTGAGTTCAGCTTTCACTAGAATATTATGATTCTTAGTAATACTTTCTCGTATATGATGGTAATGTTTATGATAATTTAAAGTTTATTGCATACTTTAATGAAGTTTGTGGTATTTTCTCATGCTCGCGTTAAATGTGGACTCTATATTAAGTCACAATTCACAAAAAATATGTTTATGAAGATACTAAACTAAACAAACGTTTGCTGAAACTGATTTCACGAGACTCAAAATCATTATCATTCTAGAAATGTCGATATAAATAAACGCAGATACTCAATTGTGCACAAGAATATAATAACACTAAAATAAGCAATATTATTAGAACTCTATCAAGTTACGAGGTTAACAAAGTTAAGTAATACCATCGCATACATAATGTTTAAATTATAATGCACCTTGTTTAGGAGACAGGTTGAATCTCCACGGAGCGTGAATAGGGGAATTATTTAGTAGATTACCTAGTCACATGTTTTCATGGGAACTTTAAAAAAACATTCCTCGATTTTAAATGTCAAATTATTACGAAAAGTTACTCTTTATCTTATTTGTTTATTTTTGTTTTTTCCAAAACTATGTAATGCTTCCTTATTACAGCTTCTCATGGATATAACAAAGGATAAGTTTGTTGTAACAATACGAAAATTGTATACTTCGTTCAGTAAATCTTTGATTCTATAAACATTTCTTATTTTGAATCTACTCGTTTGGTTCGCATAATCAACTATAGACAATACGTATAAAGTTATAACCTGTTGACGTCCCATAGTCTATTAGTCTAGCAATGCGACAATGACCCATATCCCGTTTACGACTTCCGTGAATAAATCACTAGCTGATATAGGCAATTTTCTATCTTTATCATATCAATGACTTTGGTCTATATACGTTTGTGTGTTACAAGGAACTATCCTAGGCCCATCGTAAAAATCATTGGCGTTTAAAAAGTAAAAATGAAAAGTAAACTTACCAATAAGGTTATTGGCGGTGACAAGAATACAGCAGAGGAACAAAATGGCTGATGTGATGCGATAGTGCATCCTGAAGACCATGTTGTCGATGACAGCTTTGTCGATGAGGTAGCGGACCTTCACGAAGCCCGCCACCGACGATACCAAACCAAATACCGCCATTTTAGATGTGTTTCTTTACTTTCGTTGTCTGAAACAAAAAGCAATACAATCAGCATACAGAATATAGACTCAAATCTTATCTGGATACAAATTTACCTGATGTAAATCTTAATCAGATTTAAAAACATGAAATTTTAATTGATTTGCAAATGAATGTGTTTTTGACAGTTTTTTCATGAAATACATGACAATCTACTAAACCCTTTGTCTACATTAGAACACTAGTCACAGAACACCACTATAAATACATCGACGCGTCTTAACTAACTTCGTGACAAGTGCCATACGCCACCCATACGAAATTAGAACTTAAACGGTAAACTTTATTAGTGTTTTGATTCTCTCAATGTGCGTAACAGCTGTGTCGCCTCGTCGTTCTCATGTCTTCATTTTCGTATAAACATTGGCTTTGTACGTTTATATCCCAATTTGATAAACAGTTATTTGATGTGAACACGATTCTGGTTTACTAGGGCTGGTCATTTCAATCAATGACCCCAAACATTATTCAACGATGTATCTACTTGTCGTGCCTCCCGCCCACGCCTTGTCCAGTCGGGTCCATAAGTTTTTTGTAAACCAATATTTTTTCTTCACAGCTCCACGTGTAAATATGTGGAGTCGTCGTATTGACTTTTATACTTTACTTACTAAACTTGTGTTCGTTGTGGTCTATGGCCGTAGGATGTGTATAAATGAATGAATAGTTACAATAGTCTGGTAGACAACTCATGATAAATGGATCTAACCTTGACGACTTCTTGATCCCGTTCCTACGCGGTGTCGCTTCTAACATGTGCTATTTAGGTCGCTCGCAGGGGGCAATATTAATTGATCATTGAAATTTGTTATGAAATCATCTTGGACACGAGCGTCTATTGTAAAATTGTTATTGACAGAGTCGAATATCGGATTTTCATTCTGTACGATATGTGTCGAGAGTTTGATAACCCTCATCTACGTTTACTAGACTATTGCACGCAACTCAAATGTTTGTGGCATATAATATTTTTTAACTATTTTGCTAACATAATCGTAATCGTGTTAGGATTGAGTGCGGTGGAGGCGAATGGTGCGCCGGCGCAGGGCATGTGGCGGGTCGTCGACCGGCCGCTGTTCGTGCGCCTCCTGCGTTTTTAACCTCCCTCCTCCCCCGTGCCGCCTCGCTGCTTTACCTCAACCGACCCTGGCTGATGCATCGCTTGGCAACGCGAATTTTACGCGGAAACCAGTTTGAACGGGGGGACAATCGTTACAAGTTTGAATGTCGCGATCTTGACAATTGATTAACGTTAGCTAGCTCCTAATATATCAATTCAAATCAAATTCTCAATTGGTTTTAATGTAACACTTGCAAGGTTCGCAATATTTCTACGTGACAGTCTCATCAAATTACAAATATTTACTTGTCAGTCTGTCAACGGTAGAATCAATACGTCGACATATTCCCTGAGTGATAAATATTTTGAGGAACTCGTTGTTTGCTAACGCCGTGACTGATAATGGGCTAGTGGAAGGGGGGAGGTGAAGCGTACATTCCGCTGTTTATGACATGCACAGGCGCACAGGCAGTGGCGGGTGGGCTCCGTCCCTGAACCTTTTGTGCCGCTCTTTATTGCATATCCTTGTTCCACTCGCTTATTACCGCAGACCATTTATCACCGGCACTTCGCCTTGCTAACTTGCTTTTATATCTTTTGTTATAAATTACCTCGGCATTTATAGCTTCTTCTCTTGTAAATCAAAACAATTGACTGTTTTCATGTATGCCGTTCTAAAGAAGTTAGATTTTATTTCTATATTCGTTATGATGAGCTATACGGCATATATGCAAATTCATTACTTATTTTAAGTCAGGGCACGCGCTGTTGACAATCACAACTGAATGGGCACTAATTGCGGTAAATGTGAGCCGCTGCGAGCTGCACAGCACACGTTCAAATTTAATACAATACTGGTTACTTTCGTGGGAAAGAATCTCAAACCTGTGGTATCGATGCCTCAGTCGGACAATAAAACATTTCATCAGAAAGCGTGTCTAATGACGTGAAACGATTGCTCTGAATTATTAGGTAACGCAGATTTGCAGTGCAAGTGAACGGCCCAGTTTGTCGCTTCTGTCGTAATTTACGTCTCAAGTCTCGCTCGCGGCTAAGGAACGTACTGATTCAGTTTGGTCGGCTACTGTCGTCTCGTGCCTGATATAATTAACTCTCATTGACTGCGTTGATTGTTACTAACATTCCTTCCCGCATTGTTTACATTGTAGAAAAATAATACGGAACCACGTGGTACTCCTTATTAACATTCGTTCGAGTTGAAATTATAGGCGGTGGTCAGATAAGTTGTGTTGGTCATAACATCCGCGGTGACTACGCCCGCCTTTCGTCATGTTTTGTGTCCACTCGCACGGAAATGCGCTTCTAATGTGGACCTGCGGTTGCGTTAATGCGGTCCAGATTATATTTCACAGACTTTTTTAACTACACGCTCTGATAAAATTCTCGAATGCTTCACTTATTGACGCTATTGCAATTGCAAGGATTAATATATCACAATTCACAACAGATAACGATATTATTTTAACTTCCTGGGGTCAAAGATACACGTTAGAATTCTTTATGGTTTGTAAACAAAGTCATGTTTTATAAAACTTATGCGAGCTAATTGATATCGAGTGTGCAGCGTACGCAATAAGCCATTCTTCTAATGCCAAGCAAAGAAATCCAAGAATAATTTTCTAAAATATCAATCCTCATGTTCCCAGTATCATTTAAATATTTAAAACGAACCTGAGAGCTTTACAAGTACAAGAATAGGCGTGACTGTGCTGCCAATTAGTGTTACTATTATTTTTATATGAGAAACATGAATACTAAACAAGTTTGCAAGTTCAAGGCATGTTTTAGAGGTTATCGCCAGGCGCTTCGGCGTCATCATGGATGCAGGTGCCGTGCCCGCGCGCCGTGACAAGAATAATGTGTGAGACCGGTTAAAGATGCCCCCTTTTGTGGCACCATACCAAAGAAACTCTCACACGGTACCTAATGAGAACCCGATAATGTCCTACTCTTTCATGCGTTATTTAAAATTTAAATGTGCTATACGATAACTATTATGAAATCGTATTTGAAGTACTTGATATTCTGACCTTTTAAAACGATCACCTTAGATAACGGCAACACTCTATGATTACATTAATGTCATTACTGAGGAAATGACTAGTCGCAATTATTTAATGTTCGTAATAACCAGTAATTATGACGTCTAATTCAACTAGAGTAATACAGTCCACCTATGGAAGTTATTATTAGTACGCTGTCGTTTGTACGGTAGGAAATTATTTTCTACAGTCACTCACAATGTAATTGTTATTTTGTTTTGTGCGCGAACATGTCCGGGTTGTTAAAATTAAGCGGGCAGAGGTTTGATTGTTTTTATTTCTTTATTCACCGTGTCCTTGGTCGGCACATCTTCAATGAAGTTTCATGGACCGTGAATTTCGCGTGTTTAGCTACATGTGTTGTGCTATTCTTATTAAGAATCTCCGCAATTAAATAACACGATCTGTATCTTCTAAAAATACCACGAATTCTAAGTTTTATGAATTAAAACGTGGTAATATTCATTCAAACAATGTGGTGTAAATATGTTCATCCCTTTAGCTGAACTCGCTTTGTCCATTCTATTGAAATGGAGTTCCCGGTAAATAGAACGGCGTCCCTTTCTCCCTTACTCGTCGCTCAGGTAAACGGGCACACAGCCGCTACCTGTGACCATGAGAAACGACACTAACACTTCGATGCGTTTATAATTCATAACATCATTAGGTTCATATGGATCCAGTAATCATTCGTTCATTACTTATCCACCATTCCTACGTCGCAAGACAGCGATAGGAATAAAAAAGAAATGTGATGACTATGCACGAGGCTTTTGTTCCCGCACATGTATGCTGTCAAACAACATTCCTCGCGTCGTCGATATGAGTTAAGCTCGACTCAATTCAATCCAGTAAGCTTTTGTGACACAACTCACTTACCTTTTAAACCTAACTGTTACTTCTCCAGCAACTCCGGTATCAAATATTTAACTGTCGCAAGTCGCTCGTTCTTTTGTACACAACACTAATCACAGCCTCACTTATTTGTCTAAAAATACTTTGCCACAATAGTTCAACGTCATTGTATTACAAGGGATATGTCATACAATAATAATGAATCGGTTCAAGTAAAACGAGTGGCAACTGGGGGCCCGCAGCACAGCGCACCAGCTGCTCGTGTGTCGGAAACGTAACTGAACGAACTAGCGGCCCGATTCGATCGGCCTCGTACACGGTGACTCGCGCGGGATTTTACTACCAATGTTTGGCGGCTGCGTTGCGCGCGCGCATCTCTATCTGTCTCTTTCTTGTACGCGCTAAGCTCGTCTGGCTCGCATATCTGCCGTCTCCCTCTAAAGCTAAAATGCACAGTAGCTGGCATCCACGGGTACTGAACGAGTTCGAGCCGAGGGTCTTGACTCCGTCTTCTTGAGGTTTCACCGTAGCCGAGCAATATCTCTCGTGTCGATTTTTTTGGCGAGATTTTGATGACTGGTTTCGAGTTCGACGGGTGAAGATTGCTTGCGGCTGTTAATTAACACATTTTCAAGCAATAATAATTTACCTACTAAGTTGCAGTATTTTCCTTGTGATAACGTTAGGAATAAATGCATTTTTGTTACAATTTGTCTTTAATATTTCGACTTTACGAGTTGTTTGGCGTAAGTTTAGAAATTTTGTGTTAAACAAATCAGCTGACTGGCTGAAGAGTGTTGTTAAGATAAAAGAGAGCTTTTAATAATTTAGCACATGACATTTCGAGATAATTCAATTTATTAATCTACTTCATATTTTTCGGTCATTCACATGTTCAGATTTTTGTCATAAGGAAACTTAACAGTGTGACTTCTTCATATGTATCTCTTAAATACTAAATTAGGTTCTTATTATTATTGGTCCAGACGTAGCAAAGCTCTGTCGGCTGTAACCTCATTGGGCAGGCATGCGACCGTCTACCTGTACCTTAAGTCGATATAAAAAACTAAATACAGCTGAGATGTGGTCTTACCCGATTGCCCATATTTAGTACTTTACCATTACGTAAGTTTAAGTTTGCCAGGCCCATTGGCAAACCTACTTCGTATATTATTTTTATTCCATCACGTACATTTTCTAAATGCTTTATCGTCATAATTTTCAACTTATTAAGCCAGTTTTTGCTGACGTCTGTGCTTGCAAAAATATTTGCTTCTCATTTCTTGGACCGTGTGACGATGATTAATAGTTTTTTTGGCAACCGTTACAGATTATTTTTAACTTAGTTAAGATCCATGAGTTATGGTTGTCCAGTATCTTACTTTTTTATAGTAATGAATTAAGATATCTTTTACACCTTTTCTTCAATGCAATTTGTCTGCATTCTATCTTTCTGGAGTCAACATTTGAGATTAGCAAAAATATCAACCGGTTGTCCCGCCCATTAAAATAACTTAAAAGCCTTTCTGAGTCATCGCTTGTGAGCCTATCTCTTCCACGTGGTATTTTGTCAGCAATGTTACTTAACTTTTTTCACTTTTTAACCAAATTGTAGATGTTGAGTCTTAGGTATTACCTACTTGCGCAAAACGTTTATAAGTAATTCTTTACAAGTTTCCAATAATGTTTAAATATTTATCAGCGGTTTAAACATTTTAATGCTGATTATCTATGATAGTATTATTAGTCCTCAAAATTATTGTCTCAAGTAGGTACTAATACTGTTAGATTGTTTGAATTTAACCGCGAATTTGTAAAGACAATTTCGTTTCAAACCACGTCAGAAACAACACAAAGAAAGCTTTTTGAAATACACAAGTCGTAACAGCATTTTATATAAAAGTATTACGAAATAATTGTCTAATGAAACGTTGTAACGTGATGAAGTTCTATGCGCCGGATCTCTGCAAAACTTGATTTACCTGTTTGGTCTGTCACGATGAAACCTAGCTTCATTTCTCGTTTATTTTCGGCTGCGAGAGAAACACTGATTCAAGTCTGTGCTAGGAATTTATTAAAAAAAACGCTCGAGGAATTATAATGAAATTCTTTTACGCATCTTGTTTCGTATGTAAAATTTTGGTGGTGTCTAATAAAATTGTTGTGTTTGATTTATTAATGAGCAATCGGACCTTTATTAATAAAATTTTAGTTACTTACAGATAATTAATTAAGAGTAACCTATTAGTACCTAATAACGAAAACATCTAATGAATCAGGTTCAACAATTTCGAATTCGTTCCATTGAATGAATGAATGCGTTTAGTTAGGGTCACACCCTAATTTAAACCTTAAGTTTGCAAAAATAGGGTTGCGTTGCATCATCTCGTTTCTACTAACAAATGACTAAGGTCCACAGCAAAGAAACAATTTGAGTATGTACTTAAGTCAACCCGTCTCGAACAAGCGTAGTGATTAATGCTCTAACCTTCTCCATTTGAGAAGAGACCTTTGCTCAGTAGTGAGCACTTATAGGCTGTTGATGATGGTGATGATGACCTAGGCTAGTACGAAAAGAAACGAATTGTCCCTTTTAGTTACAATGAATTATGGGAATTGTCACTTGGCTCTTCCAGTCTTATTAAATTGTAAGCATTTATGTAACCTAATTTTTGGCAAATAGTCTGATAGCTACCTATTTAAGTAGGTACCATTATCCAATTGAAACCACAAAAAGTTATTTGTAATAGTTATTATTTAATTAGAAATTCCATAACTAACAGGTCGTTATTAACATATAATTAAGGAAAGACTACCTCATTGTAGCCAAATGACCGAAAGCGTAATTGCCGAGTATGGTGTTGCAGTTTCTTTCTACGGGTCGGGCAAGGAAAATAGGGAAAGGAATCGTGCTTGGCATATGGTAATAAGCTCTCATATGGAAATAAAACATGTGACGTTATATTAACAGTACCTACTAGATTTTTAAGTAAGCAATGAAAATAAAAAACAAATAAGGTATTAACGACTAGATAGTGCATCAAATTAACATTATTAAACTTTACACTTCTGCTTTGACCTTGCGGATATCAAACAAGGAACACCCAAACTAAGAAATAACAATACATATATAGAAGTGACGTAAATATACTCACCGATATTTGTATAAGACCAAAGTTTACAACTACTTAATAGTGAACCATAATAGTCAGTTTAATTTACCCCGAAAAGAATAAACCCAGTACGTAAAACTGTCATAAGTTAATGACGAAATAAGCTCCTATAATTGTGTATTAACTTACCCTATCTGCCTTATTCGGTAGTTATATGCAAGCGTGACGCCACTGGGCTATTATATTGAAAATATTGCCTACGTCATCAGATGTAAATGGTAGCCAGATAATTTTATGGCCTTTATATCAACCGTCGATTAGACAGGTCATTCAACTTTGAATATTTAAGTAGGTGGCTATGCTATGTCAATTGGTCGTTGACCATGAGAATCAGAAGAGAATATTCACACTATGGACAGCTCGTCTACAATCTACATACTACCGATTAAAATGAATGATGGATGGTAACAAGCTTCTTATATGGTAATATTTATATTTTCCTCTAAACGTCTGGTATCTGAATACTTTCCTCTTAATTTTATTACCATAAATAAAATGAAGTCGGTTAATAATAAAACAAAGTCGCAGTAGTTGTGGTAGTTTATACGCTCTTAAGTCACCTAGTACATGTCAAAGTAGGCATCCCATATTTCAAGCGTTCGGAATATCAGACAAAGGTACTTCGTCTGCATACGTAGTTACGTTCACACCTGTGAACCTACATTCAAACGATATTCCAGTTGTGTAAAAAGAAAACAGTTCCACGTATGTATCACAAACGTTAAATTCGAAGAAAAACATCAGCAAATACACGAATTCTGTCCATACGATGAAGTATGCGAAAGAACCGTTAGTCCCACCAATCGAATTGATACTTAGCCTTGAAGCTATTCAAAAGATGATACTAAATATGTGCAAAGGAAATATATATAGCTTTATTAAGACTTTTTAACCTTTAGATAAAATGTTCTAAAGTATTATCTAGTGTCGTCACATTCCTAGCGAAGTTCTTAAGCTCTTTTTTTAGAGTTCTCACTGTTCTCAGTCGCTTGCGCATTGGGTGGCGTGCGGTAACCACCTCCAGACAACAGCCAATGTCGCTTGAATAACTGGTTTGGTGACCTTTCTGTGTTGCACATTAAACGGCCCATACCATGGATTTATTTAGGCTATCATCGACCAATAAAAGTACAAAATACATGCATACATTGCATGTTTTATTGTTTTTTTTCTATAAACACTTCGTAAAAAGTATGTCCAATCAGTTCTTTGTTCCACACTGAACTTTTCGGTTACATAATGATTACAATATGCCTGTATGGTCAACTTTCAAATTGCTTGACCAGTCCGTCAGAATTTAAATGTTGTTTCATGTAGAACATACAAATTGATGAATAATTTCTCCATACGTATGTAAGGCAGGATTCAATGGCAATGACAATATACAACTGATGTTTACATTTATGACTTAGCTTTAGATAGATACTACATATCAGTATTACAGTATTGATAATGTCGCATATTGTATTGGCAGTAAACAAATTGAAATGTTCTGGAATGTGTTTCGTGTGGAGAGCGTTTTGCGTATACGAGTGAGCCGGTTCGCGCGCATCAAAGGCATGCAATAATGCCACGTGGCACTGGCGATGCTGCCATTGTGAGGCTCGGAATTTATTCAAAGCTTTGTCGCTTCAACTACCATCTGATTGAACTCAGGTTTAGGAGCACTTTTGTTCTTTATTGAAATAAGGGATATTAAAAAACTTAAACCTTAGTCTTCGATTGCTAAAAAAACCGATCACCAGTGAAGCCCACGGCGTTTATCGTGTTAAAAAAAAATTACTTAGCCTTTTCAATTTTGCTAAAGCTAAATAACATACAATATTTATTCAGTTACGATTTTTATCCCCGTACCTACCCCCGGTGTACCATAAATAAGCTTGGAATTTAGGTTTTTCCAAACAATACAATACTGTACGTATAATTGTTATTACCTGTGACGGATTTCTACCTAATGGTATTTCAGTATAGGGCAGGGCAGGGCCCACTTTAACCAAACAATTGCAATTGTTTACCTACAACAAAATATTTGACTCATTTATTCAAAAATTTCCGCAATGCCTTTTGTTCTTAGGGAATTACCTACCTAAGTACAATAATTAATTCTATATGTAACAATACATTTTGGAATTATCAAAATATGTGTCATAATTTTGCAATACATTTGTAATTAATTAAACAAACAATTAATTAATATTGCAAAATAATTTGACATAAACTTTGAATGTTGGCTGACGCAGTTGATGAGTCATTGTCGTCTTAAATTAGATAAGTAAATATTAGGTACCTGATGTCAAGTATTATTGGTGTTATACGGAAAGTCATTGAAAAAAGTACGTAATATAAAAAAAGAAGTCTTTAACAGTTTTATCTATAGCTATATACTACAGCTAAACTTCTGTCGAATATTGTTAGCATTTAATGCGAGAAAGCTATTGCTGGGAATCTCCCACGTGGGCACAAAAATGGTTTTAAAACACCATGAATAAACACTATGTTTGTTCGAGCGGCCGCGACTGCACTGCACGAGATATTTGGTACAGTGGTATAACATTTACAAGCATGCTAATTTCTACCTTAATACTATACTTATTTCTCGACATCTCTAATAAATCGAAAGGTTTCTTTCATAAAGACCTTCTGTCAACAAATACAGCAGAACAAATTAAATCGGATTCGATCCTTCATGGGTCATGGCAATGACCAAAGGAAATGGGGACCTTAAGGGGTTCTTAAGACCACGAAGTTGCTGTGGACAAAAGCTTGAAATCTTTTTATACATAGACCGAAGTGAGAACTTAAACTTACTAAGTTAACTGGCATTTCCTGTACCACCTGTCGTCATGTCTGACATTTATGAGGTGGTAATTCTGACTCATATTCAAATTAATACTTTATTATTTTATGCAGATCATTATTATTTGATGAATTTCTACATTACGGTAAGATAATAAGTAGGTTGGTCTAATTGTATCGTTACAATAAATATTGTTATTGGCAATATTTTTCCTGCGAATTCATGCTATTTTCGTCCCTTTGTTATAATGAAACTTAACAAATAAGTGGAATACAATGCGACGCCATTTGTTTTTCATAGTGAAACATTGGCAAAAATAAATTCCGTAAAGAACACTTGTTTAAAGACTTATGTGGAATAAATACTGCTTGACTGCCTCGTTGGCCGAGCGGTCGCAAGTGCGACTGCCGGGCAAGGGGTCTCGGGTTCGATTCCCGGGTCGGACAAAGTATTAAGTGGGTTTTTAAAAAAAAAAAAATTCTCAGTAGTAGCACGGAGTCTGGAAATGTGCCCGGTATATGGCAATAGGCACACCCCCTATTACATGGTACTCATAACAAAAATAGTGAAAAGTGGGTGTTACATCTGTGTGCACCTCTGCCTACCCTTTCGGGGATAAAAGGCGTGATGTTATGTTAAATAATACCACATTTCTTTGAAACTACTATGTGAAAGTAATATCTAAAACTCTGTTAATAAGGTCGTATTTCCAATGCTACAAACCCATGCGCGTGATTGAAAGCTCAGTCTACAACGGCGCAGGCGCTTACGTGACCATTTATGCGTCCATCTAATTTGCCTCCTAAAATGGTTGTTTAAGAACATTTTATTATTATTGTTATTCATTTGCAGTCTCCGACACTTCAATTGTCTGCACGACCATCGAGATCTCTGTTAATCTAATTGCTATTTAGAGTCTGAACTGTGATGGTATTTTAGTAGATGCTTTTTCAAAATTACTGTCGTTTTTAGTCAGTGTTGTAGTATGTACTTGCTTGATAATATTTTCCCAAATGACGTTTAAGTGATACTAAGTTTTGAAAATGTATACAAACCTGGCAACACACAACTATTTCATTCGTCGACCATTCTATACACTAGAGAATCAGTAACATGATTGGATTCTGATGTTCCATAAGTCCATAAGCCACAGCAACTGCTTTTATCAGAAGACTAACGAATAAGAAGCAACACAGTTTGATTAAAAGCTTTCTTGCAACAACTGCAGCTGATACTTTGATAGTTTTTTAAAGGAAAATATATTGTTTTTAAAGAATATTTTGTCCTTATAGTCCGCTACAAACAGGTTTTGCGGTTACAACAATCCTTTTTACGTGATTCACTTTTGAACAGGCAACTTTGCACGTACGTATATGGGGATTTCATAAGGAAATCGGTTTCTAACTAAATGTTTCTTGTATGTCATCAGTCATTGCATTATTTTACATATTACGTCAAATAGGTACTCAGTAGGTTATAATTGTATCTGTAACTTAAGTTTTGTTATGTCTATTATAACGTAATTGAACAATTATGATTGAACCAGAATTATCGACGTGTTTAGTGGCCTTTGATCCGTCTTAATTTTTATGCCTTCAACTAGATTCACGGTCGCTTTATAAGTATGTAAACTCGTATATCATTTTAAAAACTTTACCTATCTGTATAATTATTTTCTTGTGTTTTTTTTTTATGTATACTACTGATTTGACACCTTTAAAAACAGTGCCTTTTCGTATTGTATTGTTTTATGGAACTCTAGGTCTGTATGTATCACACTGTTTTGTAATAATTTTATTTGTAAGAGACTGTTTGTTTCCTGAATAAAGAAAAATAAATAAAATAAATAGATGAAATACCTTCTTAATTTTGGAAGATAGGTACTTATATGAAGATAGCAAAACCTTATTTGTATCCTAATATTCTTTTAATAACTGTCAAAGCTTAGCGAAATCTTAAGATTAATGAGCTTTTTGAAGTTTGATTGAAGATTGACTGCTACAATAACCGAGTAAAGTTTTCGTTGCAAAAGAGTTAATAGACATTTTCTTTATTTTTTAGAAAACTTGGGCTGGAGCTGGTACCTCGTCGAGGTGCAGAGGCGGTAGATCCTGAGGATATGAGCCTCGTGGAACTATACAGAGTGCACGTTGAAAGTGCGGAAAGGGCAGCAGCGGTGAGTTAGCAATTATAGGTACCATCGTCATCATACCAGACAAGGTGTCCAACTATACCTACCACATTTTTCGCCATCTATCTAAATTAGTAGCTATCATGTGCCATAGTGTGTTGGTAATCCATCCATCCCAGGATTGTTTTAGGATTTACTACCCGAATATGGTATGACTACTTAAGGCATGAAGTTCTCTGAGAAGAAAATTTATCACACATCCAGTTATGAAAACACTGACCAATGGCCTCTTCTCATACGGAGAAGGTTTGAACATTAATCGCCACGTTTGTTAAATGCGGGGTTTTTTTTTTTTTTTTTTAAGGGGGGAAAATCATC